TTTGTTTTCACTTGTTAAATATTATTATACGGACTGGCGAAAGTCTCTTGATCCGTTTACCTTAGAAAATCTTTTAATATTAAGGTTGAATGACAAAATGTGGTCGATTCAGGATGTTCACCAAATTCGGCAATAGGTTTTTATGTAGTACGTATACAATTATGGTATATAGTTAATGAAAAGTGTTTTAGGTCGATCACAATGGTCGGCAGGGAGAGGCATGTAACAAATATTTAACGGATGTTAAAAAAAATTAAAAAAAAAGAACGTATCAATTTATACATAATAAAGCAAAATTGAAATTAATTGCAATTAATTGCAATTATTCTGTCATTAATTGGACTCAATTATTTTTTATGATTATTTTAATTGATTGTAATTTTTTACGCATATAATAAAATTTAATTGCAATCAATTATTCGGTAGGCCTGCTTCTGATGATATTTTTATGATGTAATGCCGTGAAAATATCAAAAATTATTCCACAGACATTATGTCATCATCAAAAATCAAAAATGTTACGGGCATAGAAACCGTGAAATATATCAGATATTCAACGGTGTGCCGTGACATCATGTCTTCGCCGTTATAATCCATGATATTCACAGTAGCACGTGGAATATCTATTACTTATTAAACCGAATATATGCATGACGATTTTCATTTACCGTTATGCAACCAAAATTACCATTAGCTTTATATGCAGGTTGCAGATTTTTACGTATACTATAAAAACGATGACATTATAAGTAAGACTACTTTTTCGCACGCTATCACAAATTATTATGTATGCTATAAAACACCAAATTACGCAGATTGGTGAGCAGATCAGAATCCATATACTTAGGGTTGTAAAATTACCATAAATTTACGTAATTTTGCGTATCTTGTGTAAGTTTCGGAAAATAATTTTCATATAATTTTAAGAAATGTTATCATACTATCATATTATTTCATATGATTGGTTGGATCATATGTCATCGATTTTTGATAACTTTATAATGCTAGCTATGTTTTCCATAATGCTGGTACTTTATATCACGTGTGAAATTTACATGAAATGTAAAATTCTAAAATGTAATTTTCAACCCTAACATACGGTGTTGTATACACAGTATTGGTTAGGGTTAGAAATGTTAGTTGATCAGTACAGTATGGTTTTCAATCTCGGCTTGTACCATACTAATCTGCTATAATCTCCTATAAAACAGATAATATGCAAAATACACTTGCATGAATGGCCATTATTTTCCGTTGATGCTAAAACATTGACCTATTTTAATATAAAAATTTAAAATTTTGGGGATGTTTTATTTTAGTTTTTTTTTTTTTTTTGTAGTTAAGTTAGGGTTTAGGGCTAGTATTTATAATAAAAAGGTATAGGTGGATTTTAGTAGAGTTTATATTTCTAAATTGAGACCCCCACGTTTCAGCATCATCCCCAACATTTTCTAATAGAATTTAATAATCCGGGATCAGTCTTACGAAGCAAAATAAGAAAAATTGAAACCCGTGAAAAATAGAAAAATGGCAGTTTAAACCCACCTTGGTGCATTAATAAAAATATGGGAGAAGCAATTTTACTTATATAAATACCCTAACCCTAAAGATAATCAAGTAAATTATTAAGAAATATAAGTTGTCCCGTTTTAGACGTCTTCAAATCTGGTAATACCCGAAACTGCATTATTATTACTGTTTTCAAAATGATTGCCACTAAAAAAACTATTTAATATGTTTTGTATACTCTGTATACTGGCCTAAAATCAAAAAAAAAATTTCGAATACTTTAATACATTAAAGTATTCAAAAAAAAATTTTTTCTACTCAAAAATTCTCCTAACTTATCTAATTCTCAAGTCTCACTGCATTGGCTCGACGCTTTATCTTAACTTTTTTCGTAAAACTTTCAGTCTATCGCTTATATTGTATGAGGAAATATGTGCACAAACCCTACAGATACCATTGTAGATACCTCTGTTCCAGTTGTTGATGAATGGGTTACATCCTCAGATGGTGTTGAAATATATACTAGAACTTGGAAGGTATGATTAAGATAGATAGATAGGCTTTTTAACTTTTCATTCCCACCAATATTTAATCTTTTTTTTTAAAATAAATGGACAATATTTTCATGTCAATTTCAGGCAGTATCAGATAAACCTATCGCTACAGTAGTATTCCTTCATGGTTTTGGAGACATGTTAAACGTTACAACCATGTATTTGATAAATTCGGAAGAGAAAATATTGAAGTTTATGCTTATGATCAACGTAGTTTCGGCGAAACAATAAAAAGAAATAAAAATTCAACAAGACTGGTTGCTCAAACTGATATCACTGAAGCTTTAATATCTCGACGAAGAGAGGGAATTCCTCAATTTTTGATGGGCCATAGCATGGTAATTTTTATCTGTAGTTCAAGCTTCACGTGCATTTTAATTTTTTACTTAAAAACTAATTCATTTTGTTAATATCATAATGAACCATTTATCATATCCCGATTTTGACTAATAGGGAGGTTGTCTTATACTAAACTATGTTCTTGATGGGCCTGAAAAACACAATATAGCAGGTCTTCTCTGTGTATCTCCTTTGATTCAACTTACACCTAACGCTAAGCAGGTTATTTCACTTTACGTTCTTCATGTCGCCAGTAAGTTATTGCCGAATGTAAAATTGAATACTGTAAATGCAAATTGCCTTTCCCGTGATCCAATCGAAATTAAAAAATACAAGGAAGATCCTTTGGTTTGTTGTGTGGCTTCTTTACGTAACAGTAAGTCTGTGATTATTTACGTTGTTTAATATTTTAAGATTATATATTCTAACTATGCATTCCCATATATATATAGTTAATGATATGATTTCAGATGGAAAATCACTAATGAAAAAGAAATATATAGATATAAACATTCCAATTTATATTGCACACGGCACCGAGGATATGATTACTGATCCAAATGCTTCTAAACTATTAATTGAAAAGACAACATCTAAAGATAAAACATTTCATGCATGGGATGGTCGTTATCATGAATGTATGCATGTATTATTATTATTATTATTAATTATTATTCTATTTTATGTGACTTGCTTCCACATCGACTTATTATTTCCTCATTTTAATACATTAGTGCATAATGATTACGATAATACAGAAGTTATTAAGAGTTACATTCAATGGATTCTTAAACATGCCAAATCTGAGTCCAGAGAGTAATAAGACACTATAATTATTTACCGTTCAGTTGCCAATATTTCTGAATAATACATTGTTGAGCCACTGGAACAGATCTGATAAAAAATTAGTTCTGTCCGAATTATTTTTTTGTAAGATTAAATGTGATGCCTTAATCAAGTTACATAATATAATTATAATCAAATTTCTCTAAACCAAATTTAGGTAAACCGAAACACTTAATTAAATCCTGTTTAAATCGAACTTAAAGTTTTAAATTTTATTATGAAATTCGGTTTAAACACTAATACACTTTTTAAAATGATTTTTTTTTCACTTTCTTAATACTGTAATAAGTCCCAAGGATTCGGTATAGAGAAAGTTAACAGTATTTGAACTTCTTCGTATTAGAACCAAATATAAGTCAACTTTCAAAGAAAAAATTATATTGCAAAGTTCAAATTGAGGTCATGTAAAATTAATTTCTTAGTCTTTATATTGTTACGGGGACGAATTTTAGTACGATAACAAGGATAAATAAAATCCAATAATTGTCCGAATCGTAGCTATGCATGGGTGTCTAAATTGTTTTGTTCATAGCGTTTAAATGGCTAAATTATTTTAGATAGCCTAAATCGTAAATAATTTCGAATGTCAAAAATAATTCGAGTTGTAAAAATATTTTTTAGTGTATCAAATATATTTTCGGATGCTTTTGTCATTTCAAGGTGTTATAATGAAAATTAAATAATTCCAAGAATGAGGATTAGAACTAATGATGCCGTAGAATCTCAAGGCATTGGGATAAGCCGTATCGTAACTAAGTTATAACTTTTTATTTTAAGTCACGGAATGTCAAAACATGCGTATTATTTCGATCATACTGTGACTATTTTATGCACCGTAACTCAATTTTTATAAGTCGTAACTCTTGATATACTATCTTTAAGTCTACATTAAGTAATTTATTTTAATTATTCTCTCTCTTCATGAAATATTCGTGCTACTAAGCTTGCCGGATTATAATCATGATTTAAGCCAATCGTTGGGCTCTGTTATTCGAGATTTTGCTTTGTTTTTCAATGAATGAATTGTTATTATCAAGGAAAGCTGGGTTGAAAGTTCGATAATTTCTTCAATTAATATACATTGTTGGATTTAGAGATGTAGCCCAAACTATTTGGGACAGCCCAAATTATGTGATAATTAGTATCACATTGGTTTTTACTTAGGTATTACCTCTTTATTGTTATTGTCGAAACTGTGTGACTAATTATCACATAGTTTGGGTCGTCCAAATAGTTTGGACTACATCCCTAGTTGGATTCGGAAATAGTACAGAAAATTCATCGCCGAATTGTTGTTTAGTAAACTACTATAATTGACTAGCATTAATGGCCGATCCGTTTACACTATCTTTCAAGTCACATTCTAACAATTCTGTGCTACAAAAAGATAATTCTTTTTTTAATATTGGCATAACAAAAGGACTAATTCTTGGCTATCGCTTCTAACCGAAATATATTAAGTTTATTCTTCGATCACCAAGCAGCCATTTTAAAGGTTGAGAAATTTTTTTCACATACGGCTTGTGATGATGAAATAGGAAAGGTCTTAATGGAAAGCTCGGATAATTATTCTTTTTGAAAATCAATACTAAGCCACTATTTCAATTTTCTTTTTTGAACAGTTGATTATAAGGTTTTTCTTTACGCTTGTAAGCACGACGTTCTGTCAATTAATCTTCGTATGATGCTTGATTTGCAAAGAGCTTTTCTGTATTACTATTAGATTCAAATAGTAAAGAGTGTGCCTCTTTATTAATATCGCTTGTATAAATAATTTTATTTTGGTTTGTAATGTTTTTGAACGCATTCATTATTTAACAAAATTTTTTACAATGAATCAATTTTTTATTTATAATAATATTTTTATGACGCAGTTATGATAGTGCTACTTACATATAATCTGAAGTTACGTTATATTAAATGTTATTAATTAAAGTTACGATTTTATTTAAAGTTATGCCACTGATTAAAGTTACGTAACTTATTATTAAAACGGCACAATGGGATAATGCGGTACAATGGGATCCATACGGACTAAAGGTGATTTCTGTGGTTAGAAAAATTCTGCGGTGTTCTGTGAAACACGGCAAATTATCGTCCTTAATCAGTGTTAATTTCTTTAGTTTGATTGGCTAATTGACAAATTTAGTCACATGATATGAACATCGATTACTCGCAAATATAGTTGGCAATTATACTCCATTTTAAGGTTGGAGTGAGTTGGGAATTTTAAGAATTATCGTTATATAGTTACCCGGCGCAAAATTATTTCTTATAACCCGGGTTGCTCCAAATGGAGTAACCTGGAGCAAAACCCGGGTTGCTCCTAGGGATGGAATCGGCTACGGTTATAGCTAGCTATAGCCGTAGCCAATATTAGCCAAACCAAGCGGCTTAACCGACCGGCTAGCTGATGCCAAATTTTTAATGTTCTGGTTTATGAAAATAATAATCATTGCATAATTCAGTATGCAATCATATCAGCGAGTCTGCATCATATTGGTGGGTCTGCACCATCTGATATACGTATAGAGTAGTGTTCCGCACGGACTAGTTCGGGCGGGTATTTTTTACAGCTGTTTTCATAAATTCTGGGACATCTGACAAAAAATTTGCCGTATGATTTTTCGGTCGATTCGGTTAAGTTATTGATTTCGGCATAATAATAATAATAATAGATTCAATATGAAATTTAAGATCAAGTGACTACTATAAAATCCCTATAAAATTTTTGATCAAAAATTGTTCGAAACGGTTTCGATTTTTCGAACAGGGGTTTATTCTTATACTGTTTTCATTACGGGAGAGAATGCTTAATTAAATGCTTATCTTACAAAAAATGTATAATAACCAATAAACTTCCTGTAAATATTTAATACGGAGTCGATTTGCCAAACAAAAAATCGGATAATTTTAGAATGATTCCAAGGAATTTTTTTTGATGGAAACATTATATAAGACTACATACGCATATCTGCATCTTCGTTGGCAAATAAAAGAAAAACTTTAGAAGGCTTATTAATTCAAAAAATTGTTAAACACTTAGATGTTAGCAGATCTTCTACAAATCGAGTTCTCAAGCACTTATGTATTAAAAAAACTTAGTAATTCATTTTTGACAAATGAGGGAGTCAATAGAAAAGAAACAAATCAGTTTTAGTAAAATTTTTTTAATTTTTAAATTAAAATATCTTAACAATATCTAATTAAATTTGATAAAAATTTTTTATTTTAATCTTAGAATTATATAGAATTAAATAAAAAATTATTAAATTTTAGATAGTTGTTGAAATATTAAAGCTTAAACTTTTACTTAGAAAAATTTGTTCCTTTTCTATTTACTCCCTCCAAATGTTAAAATCTTGATTTTTTAGTATCTAATTTTTTTTAATATTAGCATTTATTCATGTAAAATATTTATTATAAAGTAGAATTTATATTCGGAGCCTTTATTGTATTTCTTGATAGTCTTTTTCATAAATTTCGTACAAACTAAACACACCAAACATGGTGGGTAAGTATTCAAACAAAAATTTAATATTGAATGTGTCGATAGTATAGCAGGAATGTAGTGAAACGAGTGTATCGAGTTTTGCGTTCGTACACAAATCTTGGTTTTAATTCGATATAGCAGTGTTGGAACATGACTGGATGTGACCTAAATGACTAAGTGACCAAAGTCATCCCAATAATAATAAAAGTGTTGTGACATGACAGGTCATAACAGGTCATGTCACCAAGTTCAATTAGTGACCATGGTCATTATGATTTACTGGTTGTGATATGACCTGTTATGACCTGTTATGACCCGGTCATGTTCCAACACTGCGATATAGTAACCTTATGACATAATGATCTATGGACAATGATCTACTTGATTGATTCTCATGACATAATGGTCTACTTTCTTGATTGATTTCTCATGACATAATGATCTACTTGATTGATTCTCATGACATAATGGTCTACTTTCTTGATTGATTCTCATATGATCTACATTCTTTGACTTGCCCTACAAAAAGGATTGTATAATATATGTCGGGGATGATGCTGAAATTTGGGGTCCTTAATTTGAACTATAAACCCTACTAAATCCACCTATACTCTTTTATTATAACACTAACCCTAAATTCTAATCGAACTATAAAAAAAAACTGAACAAAATACCCCCAAAAATTTTAAATTTTCATAACAAAATAAGTCAAAATTTCAGCATCATCCCCGACAATATATAACTTATATATTTATATAATATTTCCAAATAAATGCCATTCTGTCTGTTCAACACGAATCTTATACGTACAAATTTCATACAATCTTTTTTATAGGGTTGTCCGAAAGCGCTATAATACACCAGATGCATGTGTTAACAAATTCTGAATTTTGTGTTTGTAACATAGAATCATTTTCTTATTTTTTAAATGTGTTGAGTTTTACTTTATTAAAACAGTATAAAATTTCCATTTTATATTTAATTAGAATATTTTATTATCAATAATTGGTATTACACTAATTATTAGTTGGAACGGGATTGCAGACTAACTATATATGCAACTTTTGGTTACAATACTAGTATCCTGCACGTGCTTCGCTACGTGATAGATCTGCATAGGTATTCGTGTAACATTAATAGGTCATGTGTCTAATAAGTAGCCAATCGAAAGGCTAAATGTTGACAGACGGACAGACGCACGTCTTTTAGTAATATAAATTCCACGATCGTTCAGTGCGGTAGCATCATTTGGGTTGATTCCTAACGATATGCTTAATCTTCAAGTGATTCTTCATATTTGCATACCATACCATATATTTTTCCACGGTAACCCAAAACAGGTGCATTATCTGGATCAATTTCCAAACATTTTGTAAAGTTAGCAATTGATTCTTTATATCTGCCTATTACGCTGTAAGTTGTCCCACGGACTATTAACGCTAAGGCCAGACCAATTTAATTCGGTGGTTTATGTTACCCCCCTTCTGCCTTCCCCCCCTCACTATATGTGCGGAAAAATTTTATAATATCGCGGATCATTTCGGAAAAAATTTATAATAAACTCCCTCCAGCTTCCCCCTCCCCTTTTGTGAGAAGGATGTAACGTAAACCACCGAATTAAATTGGTCTGACCTAATATATTATTTGGCTCAATTCTTTAAGTCTGCTAACGATTCTTCGTATCTGCACATTATGTGGTAAGTTTGCCCACGATTTATTAACGCTTCTGCATTATTTGGATCAATTTCTAGCAAACTATTCAAATTCACAAGTGATTCTTCATATCTGCCCAAATTTTAATAAGTCACCACGATTTCTTAATGCGAATTTATTATTGGGTTAATTTTTAATGACTTATTTAAATCTGAAAGTAGTTCTTCGTATTCGTCTATTTCAAAGCTACGTGATAAATGTTGAATCGGCGAGCTTGTTTTTTGGCACAATAAATGAATCATTTGTCGGTTGAATAGTCAAGCTTGATTCTGAATTATTTGATTGATTAATTTAAGAATTTGCGAAGTTTCAAGTTTATGAGAAGTGCTAGTCACATTTTGATTGTTATTATTAATTAAAACTTCCAGATCTAAAACAATTTGTTGAATACTCGGACGACTATCGGGATTATCTTGCCAACATTCTTTAAAAAAGACGTTGATTAGATTTTTAGAATTTTTCACTCGTCTAATAGTAATAACAATTTATACCTTTATAAATTTTTGAATACGCCGGTGGTATTCCTTTAATTTCATTTTCTCGAGCATTAATAATCAATTTAGGAGGATGGCCACTAGATATTTCCCACAGAAGAACACTAATACTACGTATATCTGACTTTTTACTAAACCTGAATTCTTTATCTTTAAAACATTGCGGATTTATATACGGGATAATTCCCCGTAGATTTGAACTTGAATTTGTTATTTCTTCTAATCTCTTCGAAAATCCAAAGTCTGCAATCTTGATATTCTTTTGATGAACAAGTATATTATTTGAATGCTATTAGAAATTAAAATATTTAATATTAATATAAACAAAACTATATGCATTATAAAATATTTAAAAGTTTATCAACGCTTATTGTTGAAATTCTAAATAAATGGCATGAATTGGCTGATGAAAGCAATAATGGTGATAAACTTTTAAAATACTTTGTATTTTGTGAAACATTACTAAATCACGATGAATAACATTTTCTGCATGCAAACAACTAACTGCATTGGCAATCTGTAGAACAAAATTAATTTTATCATCCCAGGAAAGACGATTAAAATTATTGTATTCAAGAACAAGCATGTAATGTATAAAATCTGTATTCGTTTTATCTATTAATTATTATATATAATTTAGTCATGCAAAGCATTAGAGCCTATACATAATAAGAACAAGGGTTGCAAAAACAAATAACAAATTTACCATCTTTCTTTGTAACACTATGTAGACGAATTATATTAGAATGAATGTCCACTTTACGATACAATTTAAGCTATATTTTATTTGGTAAGATTTGAATTGTTATAAAATTTGAATTTTATAATAAAAAAACAAATTATCTCATTAATAACTTCCGTAATAATTACAAGATCGCTTTTAAATGACTTTAATGCTACGGCAACATTGTTGTAATCGAGAATTGCGTGGTAAACGTTCCCATATCCCCCAGCCCCAATATGCACAACATTTTTAAAGCGTGAATATTCATATAATTTAATTTGTTCTTTATTAAGACACTTTCCAATTAAATTAACGGAATCTCCGGCGAGGTTCATAGTTAAGATTCTTTACTTTCGGTTACTGTACCAAATACATTTTAATGTTTTTACTATGATGACACTAGTGTAACTATATAACTAGAACATGATCATGCGGGCGGCTTCGCCTCCCATTTTAAAACAATCAAACTTGGTTGGTATTTTATATATTGTGATTAGTAAAAAATTTGAAGTATAAAATGTAGATTTACAAACTAATTATATTTTTATTGCATATGTACTTTATTTTCTGTTTAAACTATCACACCATTTTTGTATTTCTGAGCTGAGTTTTTAATAACTAATTAGAAGGAAACTTTTATTAAGAAATCGAAGTTGTTAAGGTTACTACTATGTATAAAGCTAAAAGGCGCAATTTATATTTACTGCTAATCGGTATATCAATGCTGAAATGAAGAATAAATATGGTTTGTGAGGTTTTTATAAAAATATTTAATTT